GCAAGGAGCCCGATATGGGACTCGATCCCAGGACCCCAGGATCATGACAGGTGCCAAAGGCAGATGCTCAACCACTGAGCCACCCAGGCGCCCCAAAGATTCCCTTTAAAACACACACACACACACACACACACACACACACACACACAGAAATGGTGATGATCTTCAACCTTTCCTTTGTTAATGTGGTAGAGATTATTTTAGAAGGCTTTTAATTAATTCAAAATCATAACTTAGGTTAACAGAGCACAATGTTGAAAATGAGAGCTTTATTAAATCAAGGAAGTAAAAACAATGAAGTAAGAGTCTGAAATTACTGTAGAATCTTTATTAACTGAATCCTTTTTAGTCAATGAAGGGATTTGAAGTTAATTCAATTTTAAAGAGATCTAAATCAAAAGGTTTTTCCTGCCTGGGAGCAGGTTCACAACTACCAGTTTGTCCAGCCATTGGTAAAAGAATATCTGGTTCTGTAATATAAGCTGTTATTTGAAAAACTGCATCCACCAAATAGAGTGATTAGGAAAGTGTAACACATTGCAGTTAGGAGAGGATTTTGTCCTCTCCCCCAGGAACAGCATTGCCTCCTGCCTCCCCAGAGGCCAACAGTAAGAAATCCTGGGAGAGTAAGAGAAAGGAGTGGGGAAGAAGTCAGACAGCAGGGCACACAGCCCACCGCACAGCCTGGCACCGCTGCTCTGATTGCCTGCAACTGCAGGTGTCAGGCTGTGACATCTCTGGCTAGGTTTGGGTTGACCTTGTAAAATGTACACCTTGCGGAAATGCAAACAAACGTATTTCCTCGTGCACAAAAATGAATGGCTTTAGTCAAGGTGGATCATTTTCAAAAACCAAATACGTTTTTTTGATGAGTAATGATTGAATGAGAAAACAAAATGATTCTTACTCGTCTGGTTCTGGATATAGCCCAAGGTTTTGTAGTTCACTATAATACAGTAGGACATAATATCTCACACACGCTCCATTTTTGGATTCAATGGATATAATAAGTAGGCCAGAATTAGCACAAAATTAGTCTACCTAGAGAAATCTTGGAAAAGAAAACTCATCTCAAATATTTAAGAAGAGATCAGATGGCTACAAGTGTTACTCCCACAGGAAATTAATTAATGATCATTTATTAATGTCTGAAAACCGTTTTTAAGATTTTTCTTAAAGATTTTGTTTATTTGAGAGAAAGGGAGAGAAAGAGAATGACAGAGAGAGAGAGCATGGGTACAAGCAGGGGGAGGGGCAGAGGAAGAGGGAGAAACAAACTCCCCACTGAGCAGGGAGCCTGATGTGGGGCTTGATCCCAGGACCCCGGGATCATGACCTGAGCCAAAGCCAGATGCTTAACTTACTGAGCCACCCAGGTGCCCTAGAAATATGTTTTCACTATATTTTTCATGATGAGTTTCCCCAATAGAAATATTACAAGACAAAAATACAGGTCACTGGAGCCAGAAAACGGGGGTTTTAAGTCGTAATTGTGCCTTTTCTGATCGCATAACCTGCACAAATAGTTTTACTCCCATTAAAACTCTATTTTCTCATCTAGAAAATGGTTACTACAGAGCTGTTAGAAAGATTACATGGATCCGGGGCATGTTGAATGCCCAAGACAACAGACACTCAGAACTCGGTATTTCTAATTCTCTTCTAGTTAAAGCTGCATTATCCACCCTCTGCAGGACAGCAGGGTGATCAAGAGCAGGGACTCTGAGACTACACTACCTGGTTTGGATTCTGGCTCCACCATCTCACCGCTGTGTGACCAAGGGCGCGTGACTTAAACTCTCCAAGCCTCAGTTTTTGTCATCTGTGAAATAGGCGTAAAAAAAGCACCTTGCTCATAGGGTGGTATTGAGAATTAAATGAGTTTATGTAAAACGCCTAGAGTGGTGCCTGGCACACAGGAAATACTATATAAGTGTCAGCCAGGATTGTATTAACACACTCATTGTTTATTGCATTAGCATATCTCAGAATTATTATGACTACAGCTGTGATCAAAATATGTGGATGGGTGTCATTATCTGACTTGAATGCCAGCGGTGTAGTGAGGAGGGTGGGGAAGCAGAGGCGGCCACGTATCCCTCCCACCCCCAGCGTGAATGCTTTGAAACAGCCAGCTTTGCAGATTCTAGCTCTAGGTAGGAATAGGGAGAAAGGAGCATTATGCTCCCCCGTGGGTGCAATTCTTTTTTTTTTTTAAGATTTTTAATTTATTTATTCATAGAGACAGAGAGAGAGAGGCAGAGACACAGGCAGAGGGAGAAGCAGGCTCCATGCAGGGAAACTGATGTGGGACTCGATCCAGGGTCTCCAGGATCACGCCCTGGGCTGCAGGCAGCGCTAAACCGCTGCACCACCAGGGCTGCCCCCATGGGTGCAATTCACCCCCACTAAGCCATTGCTTTAATGAACACCAATATTTTTTAGTTCCATTGTAAATGGTGTTTATAGTGAAAACCATATTTAACAACTTTAAGGGAATTTTTTTAATGAAAAATGAATCAACTACAAACATGCCACCTGACAACAAAAACTGATTTCATTGTTTATATTTCTCCCTAGTTCCTGTTTGTGTGTGTGTGGTATGAGTTTAGCCAGTTGCCACCACTGTGTACCTGCAATTTTATACTGTTTACTGTGATCGATAACCCTTTCCCCAACCCTATAATTATAATTATTATTGATGGCTGCACAGTCAAGTTGATAGGCCATGATTACTCTTTTTTTGAAAATCTAAATGTCCACGTTTTACATGCTGTAGGAGAACTTTACATGTGGATGATAGTAAAGGAAAGAAATTCTGAAAGAAAAGGCAATCAGAGACCTAAACCTTATGGCAAGAGAGAAGAGAAGGGAGGGAGCATTTGATTGCCTAAAGCTGTGAAATCCTATAATTTGATTTTGCAAAAGACTTCTACCCCAAATGTTTTATTTAACAGACCTATTTTTACATTTAAGAGAATTAAAAAGAATTTGCATGTGACGGGTACGTGGAGGCTCATTATACTGTTGTCTACTTTTGTATATGCTTGAAACTTTCTGTAATTAAAAAGGTTGAAAAAAAGAATGCGCTTATAAATGATTTTAACTACGCCCTTGAAAATAGTTTGAAGGGGATCCCTGGGTGGCTCAGCGGTTTGGCGCCTGCCTTCAGCCCAGGGCGCGATCCTGGAGTCCTGGGATCAAGTCCTGTGTCGGGCTCCTGGCATGGAGCCTGCTTCTCCCTCTGCCTGTGTCTCTGCCTCTCTCTCTCTCTCTCTCTATGTCTATCATGAATACATAAATAAATAAATCTTTAAAAGAAAAAAGAAAATAGTTTGAAGCATCTCTCAGTAAGCAAACCACCAGTAGCCCACATGGCATCTTGGTGGGAATTTTCAAGAGTCCCCCTCTCCCAGGAAATCGTAGAGGTATGTACATCTGTGACCTCTGCTCTGGGCACAGTGCTTCCTTGGATGGCACGCTTGTGCTGTGCACAGCTTCCCACCATCAGCAGAGGCCCTGCTCAGGTATCATTAAAACACTGTTAAGAACATCTTCTTTAAGAAGGCAAGGCCGTAGCTGCTTTGACGCCCATGGCCTATATTGGGAAGCGGGTGACCAGCCTTAAATGATGGTACACCAGGCCATGCCCTCCTCACCCGCCGTGGGCTGACATCATCAGACCTGCCGACACAATACACCCAGCCTGGACACTGCAGACATTTGAGGATGCTGAGGCCTGAATCATAAACACAAATGGGCAATCAAGGAAAACCAGATGCGGGAGGAAAAACAGCAACACACAATTCATAATAATGACTATGGTCATAATCTTTATTGCTAGCATTCACTGAATGCTGACTATGTGCCAGGAGATGTTTTAATCGTTTTTCATGTGTTAAGTCACTTAATCTTTACAACTCTATTTCATGGGGAGAAACCAAGGCATAGAGAGCTATCCTTTTTTTTACTATATTGGAAATATAACTACACAAAAGAAAGTTTTGGGAAAAGAAAATAAAACGTGATTGGTCCAGATTTCTATCCCTCTTATGAGATGACATTTTCATTTTCAGAAATTACTTTCTTGTTTTTGTCCATAGCCAACTTGCTTTTTATCTTAATTTTATTTTTTAAAAGATTTATTTATTTATTTATTTATTTATTTATTTATTTATTTATTTATTTAAGAGAGAGAGCGAGCTTGCAGGGGTGGGAGGAGAGGGAGAGGGATAGAGAGAATCTTTTTTTTTTTTTTTTTTTTTTGGATAGAGAGAATCTTAAACAGATTCCTTGCTCAGCACAGAGCCCACTGTGGGGCTCAATCTTACAACCCTGAGGTCATGGCCTGAACTGAAACCAAGAGTCAGTCGTTCAACTGACGGAGCCACCCAGGTGCCCCCCCTCCGCAACTTTTTTTTTTAAGATTTTATTGATTTATTCATGAGAGACACAGAGAAAGAGAGAGAGGCAGAGACACAGGCAGAGGGAGAAGCAGGCTCCATGCAGGAAGCCGGATGTGGGACTCGATCCCGGATCTCCAGGATCAGGCCCTGGGCCGAAGGCAGGTGCTCAACTGCTGAGCCACCTAGATGTCCCGCCAACTTGTTTTTTAAAATATCTTTATTCTTTGTAAATGATGCCTGGTCACACAAAAAAATTTTTTTTAAAAACCCTCAAATAAGAGCAAAACAGAGAGTTGATATTTAAGACCAGAATGCTACTCACATCATGTGACCCTAGTTACCAATGTGCCTATAGTTAATGTATGAGTCACTGAAGTAAAATATTACTCCATGGCACTTGAACATTTTTGCTAATTATTGAGTAAAGGAAGCTTAAAGTTTGTGTTATGAGGTGGCTAAATAGATAATGTACCAAAAACTTCCATATCAACCCTCAGATTATATGATTTTTTTCTAGAATAAAAAAAATAATAGTCTTTTGTACAAGACATTGGAAAAATAAATTCTTCTTGATATTTTCTTTCTGTTCATTAGAGACTCGAGGCTTCCATCACTAACCCAGAAGCCCTAGATATCTACTACCTGGCTTATAAGCATCCTGAGGGAGTAAGGTAATGCTTTTCCTAGCATATGAGAGGATGTTGTTGTCTTATATAATTCCCGGGGAAATTTTTGTTATTCAGATTTCTGTGAAGGGCTTGCGGCTGAAAAGAATCTGTTGAGAAAGAAGTTTTTTTTTTTTTTTTTAAAGATTGTATTTATTTATTCATGAGAGACAGAGAGAGAGAGAAGCAGAAACATAGGCAGAAGGAGAACCAGGCTCCATGCAGGGAGCCCAATGTGGGACTCTATCGCAGGACTCCAGGATCAGGCCCTGAGCCAAAGACAGACACCCAACCGCTGAGCCACCCAGATGTCCCATGGAGACATTTATTCCTATGTGTGTCCTGGGAAATAAGGAAAGAGGGGGGGAAAAAAAGGAAAAGGTAGTTGATAAAAGAGCTCAAGACAGGCCATTTTATTTGTTGTTCAGAAAGTAAAGTCTCCTGGAAAGTTCGGTAACTTCTGAATGAAGTTAGGCAGATTTCCAGGATTAGACAAGCGGGTACATAAAAGTCTCCCTAAGAGAGTTCAGAAAGTACCACATTTTAAACCAACATTAGCAGATTTTATTTTATTTTTTTTAAAGTTTTGTAGTTTTTTTTAATTTTTATTTATTTATGATAGTCACAGAGAGAGAGAGAGAGAGAGGCAGAGACACAGGCAGAGGGAGAAGCAGGCTCCATGCACCGGGAGCCCGACATGGGATTGGATCCTGGGTCTCCGGGATCGCGCCCCAGGCCAAAGGCAGGCGCTAAACCGCTGCGCCACCCAGGGATCCCACTTTAGCAGATTTTAAAAGCACTTCTCATCTCACCCCTGAAGGGCACTCCTTATTCACATTGGTGAAGAGAGAAAGGAGAGGCTGTGTGTACTGGTATCCCCTATCCACCTGTACCCATTCCCAGTGGGGATCAAAGTTTCTGCTGCTCCCTGAATCAGGCCTTGGGCCAGCATTGAAAGATGCTATGCAAGTAGGTGGTAATACTAAATAAATGCTTTTTTTGGGTTTTAGGTATCTCATATCCCTGTGATACCTCATTAATCTCACTTGTCGAAATCAGCGTAAATTTTAAACAAGTAGAGGGCTGTTCCCTAAAAGCCCCACCATGGTTGCTCGCCGGGGGTGAAGGGTCACATACTTTAAGGAGGTGCTTGAGTCATCGCTGTACGCAACCCTAAGAGCCACTAATGTTTTCACAGGTTTCCTAACAGAGCATCAAACACCAGATTCGAAGGATGGAGTTGCATCAGAGTAACAGACTACTGCCCGGTGAACAGGAGTGTTGAGTTCGGGAACCTAGAAATTCTTCCAGTGGGCCTGAAGCTTGCTGTGTTTGGCATCTTCATCATTGTGATATTTGTCTACATAACAGTGGAAAAGGAGCCGTTCTTTGGCTAAGTGCTTTAGGAACAGAGCAATGAGTGAGCACCTGAGCATGCCTCTAAGCCGTCCTGCTGCAGGGAAGGACAGAAAGAAAGGCTGCTTGAAAAAGGGATGCCCAGCCCCATAGCCAGGTAGCTTTCCTCTCTGCTGCTCTCACAAAACCCTACCCAGGCTCATGATTTCAAAGCCAATGGGGCCTTACATACTGTCTAGTTCACCGCTTATGTTTCGAGATAAGGGAACAGGCCAGGGAGGTTGAAGGAAATGCCAAAAGTCACAATGAACTGAATCCAGAATCCAAGGTGCAAAGAAACAAGGTAAAGAAGCAGACACTCTCATCAAAGAGCTTGAGGATAAGGAATTCCCCACATGACGGCATGCTGCCCATCATTAAAAGCGCTGCCACATCTGAAGCATACTTCAAAAAGAAAACCATGCCTGGTGTTTTTCTTTTGAGCTGTGGTGGTGAGCCATAGGTCCTGCCTCACGCTTCCAATGATAGAGTGAACTACGGGAAAGGCCCCCAATAGGTGATTGATGAAAAAAGGAATGCATATGGTTTGGCAAACACAAAGCCTTATCCGGCATCACAGGTCATGAAAGGAAAACAATTTAGAACAAGACAGCATTTTCGCCATTAAAAACGTAGCAAAGTTCGAAAAAAATTAATGCCCAGTGAGGGAATGTTATAGGAACTTGGCCTCTGGGATCATGCAGAGCTGGGGAGGCATCCAGCTCCTCTGTTTCTTAGCTCTGTGACCCTGGGTGAGTTAGTTGTCATTCTCTGTGCTTCAGTTTCAACTTCTGAAAATAGGGGTGGAATAGATCTCTTAGGGGGTGAAGAATTTGAAGAAATAATCCATACAAAGTACTTACTGCGGTCCACACCTGATTGGTAGTAAGCCTTCAAAAAGTACTCAAGCAATGTTACGCTTCAGCACGATATTTCTACTTCTTGAAGGAGCTAATGCTAGATACAGAGAAGTCTCTCCCACCCCTGCTTTTTAAAGTTTTTATTTAAGTTCCAGGTGGTTAACATACAGTGTAATATTAGTGTCAGATGTACAATACAGTGATTCAGCACTTCATACAACACCTGGTGCTCATCACTAGTGCACTCCTTAATCTCCATCACCTTTTTAACCCATCACCCCACTCCCCTCTAGTAACCATCAGTTCATTCTCTATAGTAAAGAGTGAGAAGTTTTTTTGTTTTTTGTTTTGTTTTGTTTTTTTAAGTAAACTCTACATGCAACGTGGGGCTTGATGAACTTATGGCCCCAAGATCAAGTTTCATGCTCCTCTGACTGAGCCAGCCATGTGCCCCAAGAGAACTCTTAAATACCAAGAAGTTGACTGTAGTGATTTTTATGGTAACCAACATGTAAAACCAACCCAAATATCCAACAATAGGGTAGGGAATAGTTTAATAAATTGAAATATAGCCTCTTGGGATCCCTGGGTGGTGCAGCGGTTTGGCGCCTGCCTTTGGCCCAGGGCGCGATCCTGGAGACCCGGGATCGAATCCCACGTCGGGCTCTCGGTGCATGGAGCCTGCTTCTCCCTCTGCCTGTGTCTCTGCCTCTCTCTCTCTCTCTCTCTGTGACTATCATAAATAAATAAAAATAAAAAATAAATAAAATAAATTAATTAATTTTAAAAAATGAAATATAGCCTCTTAATAGATTATACAATTAAAATACTAACTGAATTTATCATAACAGAAAATGCCTATTTATAAACATGTAATAACAGCTTTATTGAGATATAATTTACAAGTCATACAATTCACCTAAAGTGTATATACAATTCAATGATTTTTAGTATATTCATAGAGTTGTACAACCATCACCACAATCAATTTTAGAACATTTCATCACACCCAATATACTTTTTTTTTTTAAGAAAACTCTACATACATATGGGGCTTGAACTCATGACCCCAAGATCCAGAGTTGCACACTCTACTGACTGAGCCAGCCAAGTGCCCCACCCCTAATTTACTTTAAAAAATTTTTTTAAATGTTTTTTCTAATGGCACACAAAAGACACGGGTTTATCCCAGCTATACAAAACACACCAGAAGAAAATACACAAAAATGTTAACAGTACTTCAGTGATAAGATTCTCCCATTTTATTTTCCCCATTCCTACTTTTCCACATTTTTATTTATTTATTTATTCATGAGAGACAGAAAGAGAAAGAGACATAGGCAGAGGGAGAAGCAGGCTCCATGCAGGGAGCCTGACGTGGGACTGGATCCCTGGTCTCCAGGATGGCGCCCTGGGCCAAAGGCAGGCGCTAAACTGCTGGGCCACCCAGGGATACCCCTCCACATTTTTCTATAAGCAGGGGGTGTTAATTTGCTAATGAGAGAGAATAAATTTTAATATTTACAAATGATAATACTGCAAGGAACATAAAACTCCGGTAAGGGGGCTTGAACAAATAAGAATTTATTTTTATCTCACAAAAAGAAATTTGGAGCTTAAGACCTATACCATTGTTAAAAATAACCAAACATAACATGATTCTGATTCAAATAAACCAGCTCTAGAAAAAATTATGATAAAAAAATCTGAAACTGGGGCACCTGGCTCAGTTGGTTAAGCATCTGCCTTCGGCTCAGGAATGGTCCCAGGGTCTTGGGATTCAGTCCCGCATCTGGCTCCCTGCTCAGTGGGGAGTCTGCTTCTCCCTCTCCCTCTGCACCCCCCCCCCCCCGCTTGTGCTCTCTCACACACACACACTCTCTCTCTCTCTCAAATAAATAGAATCTTTAAAAGGAAAGAGATATTTGCTCTTATTGAGCAGCAGCAGCTATTTGGTGACCATGAGGTAAAAAGCATATGAGAAAGGCTGAGAATCACAAAGACGTTAGCCTGCTATCTTTGAACTGCTGAAATCAGTTTTGCAGCTTACACCTGTGCATTAGCATTTTAGGCAGAACACAAGAACCACATCCCATCCGTGTTCTGTGTTTCATCTAGAACAGTAAGGGAGGCTAGAAGAGTGAGCATTTGAGCTTTGGCAGCTTCTGTATGAGACAGACAAGGGAGAAAGGGATTATATATAAGAATAAAAGGAAGCAACCTACACTGATAGTCACATGTTCTTTAAAAAGGACACTTCTGTTCTTAATATAATCAAGCATTAAAAAAAATAAAAATAAAAACCAAATGTCCTCTAGAAAGGCCACTTCAGTACTTTCCTTTTTTGCCAATTGATTTTTATAAGTCAGAATCCTGGAATTTAAGAGATTGCACAAGGCACCTGGTTAGCGCCTTTCCACTCAAGGGGTGGGTCCCTGACCAGCAGCATTAGCACCTCTGGACCTACCCTCACCTACTATGCTGGAACCTGCATTTTCATGGGATCCCAGGATTCACACACATATTAAGGTTTCAAGAGCACTGCTATGTCAGAAGAGTCCTGGCTTAAGCCTCAGCGAAGCTGACCCTAAGGGTCAGGTGAGAGGACCAGTGGGGTAGGCCTATCCGGGATCTATGCACTCTGGGGACTGGTTTTCCCTTTGGGAAAAACTTGCCTAAAAGGAAAATATTCAGGCATACAGGTTTGATTTCAGGAAATATTTCCTCATTCATTCATTCATTCATTCAAGAATATATTTAACACCTCCTGCATAATACTCTCAATAAAAAGACAAATAAAGGGGCTCCTGGGTGACTCAGTAGGTTAAGCAACTGCCTGCAGCTCAGGTCATGATCCCAGGACCCAGGGTCCTGGGATTGTGAAGCCCCTCTGAGCACGGAGCCTGCTTTTCCTTCTCCCTCTGCCTGTTGCTCCACCTATTTATGTGCTCTCTATCTATCTATCAAATAAAATATTTTTAGGGATGCCTGGGTGACTCAGTGGTTGAGTGTCTGCCTTCGGCTCAGGGTGTGATCCTGGGTCCAGGGATTGAGTCCGCATCGGGCTCCCTTTGAGGAACCTGCTTCTCCCTCTATGTCTCTGCCTCTCTCTCTCTCTCTCTGTCTCTCATGAATAAATAAAATAAAAACCTTTAAGCATAAATAAATTCATTTTAAAAATGACAAATAAATCAATATGAAGTATAGTCCTTATTCTCAAGTAATATGCACTTGATATGCAATCTGATAGGAAGACAGGGATGCCAGTAGATATCACAGTGTTAAGCGGTATCTTTGAGATGGTAGGACAAGGTGCCCTGGGAGCTACTAGGAGAGCAACTTTCACAGATGTGGGGAGCACACATGGGTATCTCCTTGGGGAAATATCATCGCTGAATCCTGCATGATGAGCAGAAGTAGTCAAAAGAAGGGGTAGTAAAGGGAGTAAGGCCGAAGAAAACATCTTCAGGCCAAAAGCACAGTATTTACGGAGATGAGGATGTGTGAAAGAGCAGGTAAGTTTGGGGAACCACAAGGAAAAGGAAAGGGGGATTGGTGAGAAATGGGGCCAGAAGGAAGGCAGGATTCAGATCACGGTCTTCAGGACCAGATTAAGGAGTCTGAACTTGACTCACAGGCTAAAGTGTGAGAAGAGGACGGCCTCTAAGAATTCCTGCCTCCCTAATTGTCATCTATGTTGGTTCCCATGGCTTCTCCGGTGTTTCTTAAAGAGGCGTCAAACCAAAGAAGCCATTTGTCAAAACCCCCAGGGACGTGGGGAGGGCAGTTCTCAGTGTGTGTTGGGCCCTGGCAGCAACAGGAATGGCGGGTGGGGTGCCCAGCCTTGGTGAGAGGCAGCACCCTGTGACATACATTCCACCTGTGTGTGCCTGCGGCAAGGGCAGCAAATGTGGCAATGCTGCTGGAGCAAGAGCAGCAGAGAAGACATCGGGAGAACAGACATGGGGCACCCTCATAGGATGCCCAGGGAGAAAAGGGGTGGCCATGGTTGCACATAGAGTGGGGGATGAAAGGGAACAGTTCAAACCCCTAAAAATGCACCTGCCCTATTGCGTGAATATTTGTGATGTGACCCAAGCATTTCATGACCCCTTCAAGGCTCACTTTCCCCTGGTAATGTGGGGGAAGTGTGTTGGGGACTGGAGCTGACTGTCCTCCCAGGACCGGTGTCCTCGGCAGGAAATGCTGTCACCACGCTTACCTCAGCAGGGGGCAGGAGCAGAGAAGGCCACTTTTTAAAAAAATATTTTATTTATTCATGACACACACACACAGAGAGACACAGAGAGAGAGAGAGAGAGAGGCACAGGCACAGGCACAGGGAGAAGCAGGCTCCATGCAGGGAGCCCGACGTGGGACTCGATCCCTGGTCTCCAGGATCAGGCCCTGGGCTGACCGTGGCGCTAAACC